GAGAGAGAGAGAGAGAGAGAGAGAGAATCCCAAGCGGGCTCCGTGCTAATAGCACGAACCGTGAGATCATGACCTGAGCCGGAATCAAGAGTCGGTCGCTTAACGGATTGAGCCACCAGGTGCCCCAGAGTTAGTAATTACTCAATCAGCAAGGATTTGATATTCCATATGGCTTCTCGTTAACACCAGCCCTTCCTCCTGTCTTGATTTGGGGATTCCCTTCCTTGGCATTTGTCCTATTTGCAAGAAATGACAGAAGAACGTTTTTCTTTGATGCCAGAGTAGTTTCTGCATTGCTTTATATTCTCAGTGGAGAATGTTCTTCAGCTTGCTGAGGCAGGGGTAACTGGGAAGTCTGAAAATCCCGGAGAAATCCAGGTTTTTATTTCTACCGAATAAATGCCAGTGAGGCATGCTGGTGACGTAAGGTTGGATTACACAACTGGACGTTTGCTCTCAGCGGTGACCTGCAGTTTCTACAGTTTTCAGGCAGGAAGGGGATTAGTACTGGCCTTACTTTCCTGGAAACTTCTCCGAGTGCCCTGGAATTGTGGGAATTTATCCAGCTGCTCTGTGGAGGGTGGGTAATCCTGATGAGCAACACTTTTAATGCCAGGGCGCTATTTTTGGAAGTTTACGCAGAGCCCCTTTGCACTTTTCCTCTGTTCATTTGAGCAAACTTTGCCCTTTTCGAGAGTCAGTTTCAGGGTAATCCCTCCGTCAGTTCTTCCTAACTCCTCCAGGCCATCCTAGGGCTCCTTCTTCTTGGTGCCCGTGGTACCTATTATAGAACGTGTATATGTTCTCACGTCGTGTGCTCATTTTCTTTTTATGGATCTGTTTGCCCCACGAGACAGTTCCCAAGCAGCAGGAAACCTGGCTTCTCAGTTACCCAGCTCGTTGGCCCTAGCAGGTATAATAGATGAAGGGATCTACGCGGCAAAGCCGTTATAATGGGCTCGGCAGGTGCATGAGCAAAGCATGCTGGGGACAAGACACAGACACACATACTTACATATCACATATGTTGGGATGTTCTTCACCCTTCTAGGAAGCAAGTTCTCCAGCATGTCTGTACATGGCCCTTTCAGTTTATCTTTCCCTTTCTCACTTACTATAGAAATGTGGGTACCAATAATTATTACTTGAAGGTAACAGTCATGCCGGCACAGAAAAGTGGTAGCCAACCCTTGGCCTCATTGCCTGGAGCAGTACAGAGAGGGTGGGAAGGGGTTGTGGGAACTGGGGGCGGGGGGAGGAGGCTGTGTGTGGCACATGTCCCCTGTAAAGAGGTAACCACTGCCTAGCGAAAGCTAGTGATACTGGCGAATACCCGGTATTGCCGGATCCTCTGATTTTCCAAGAGATGCTCGCTGTCTAAAATGTGGTGAGAAAGCAACACATTTTTACAGCTTAGTAACCAATTATGACAACTCATCATATGGACCAGATTGGGCCTGAGGGTTGTCAGTTTGTGACTTTGGCCACAGCACCTACATTATGGCGCTTCTTATGTTGTATTCTAATTGTTTACCTGCCTGGCTCCCTCACAAGATGTGAGCTTTTGGAAGTCAGGTTGTGCTTTACCATTGTACCCCTTTGTTGATCACAGTGCCCAGCGTGGAACAGGCATGCAGTTGACAGTGCAAAGACTCAGGGTGAAGTACACCGTGTGCGATGGGGCCCTTAGAAGCTGAGAAGGAGTGTTGCAGGGTGGGGGTTGCAGGGTGGGGGTTGGGGTGGCGCACTGGAAGCACAGCTCAGGGGAGCGGTGGTAGAATCTAGGAAGACGGTGACAGAACACATATACCCAACACTGGGTATGGAACTGTGGTCCATACTGCGACTCGAACTGCAGTCGTGGATGTCTTTAAAGAGAACTGTGCAAGCACGTGACTAGGCTAACGGAAGTCTCCTCTTGGCCTCTGGCCGCTTTAGACTGTGGGTCTAGAAGGATGCATCTCAACAGCAAATCATTTATTCCTTTGTCCAACAAATATTTATTGAAGTTTACTGTGTGCCAGGTACCATTTTAGAGGGTTGGCGTATCTCAGTGATCAAAAGGGACAGAATCTCCTGCCATCATGGAACTTCTATTCCCGTGATCACTGGCAGCCAGAAGGACTAATCACACGTCTGCTTAACTACTTAACTGTGAAGGGGACTCTAGCCGCCCATCATGGTTAGGTGGTGGGCCAGGAAGGATGTCCTGGAATGACCTGACGGTCTTGAGGCTCTGTGTCACCCCCACACCAAATCAGCTTCTAGGCTGGGGTAGGTAGGCGTCGTTCACCCGCCCATCGCCTTCCCCTTGGCTCCCAGGTGAGAGTCAGTCCTGTGAGTACCTAACTTCAAAGTTGCAGACTGGGATGAACTTTTCAGGGTTTCAGCCTCTCTGGAATACCTACTGATTTCCCCAGGGATACCTACCTCTGGGCCTTAGCATTTTTCTGGGAGAACATGATGAAAAGTCATTCTGTTCTTCACCCAACCGGTGCCTGGCTGTGACATGCACATCAGAAATGCAGCATTCCTGGTCTCCCTGGGCTGACTGAGGTTTAAGGCCATGTGGGCAGCCTCCCTCAGGGCCAGATGCTCACTGTGCTGTGTGGGACATTTTGGCTGTTTCTTTCTAAAATTAGATCCCGAGACTTGTGTGTGTGCCCATTTACATTCCGATTCAGAGTGTATGACTTGATATATTTTTCTTTGCCCTCTCGCTGACTATATTCTAGGATGGAGCTATCCATGAAAACGTACTTAATGGTACCTGGGGGCGGTCAGACAGCTGCAGTTCCTGTCGAGTTAAGTAGGAATGATGATTTCGAAGCAGGGTGGTGGAGTTGGACGCTCTGGTGGAGGAAGAAGAGGCGCATCCTGCTAGAGTAGAGAGAACACACGGCTTGGACAGACCAGAGCCTGAGACCCGGCTCTGCTAATGGCCTGGATCTCGAACAAGTCCACTCCTCTCTCTAATCTCCCATTTCATTATCTGGCAGGTGGTGGCAACAATACCACCAGGTTGCTGCGGGGATTACGAGAGGGATGCATTCGACAGTGCTTTGGTAAACTGAACAGCACTACGCACACGTGCGTTCGCTCGGTAAACTAGCAAATAGACGGGCACTGGCCAGTGCTTTGCCATTTCTATTAAAGGACAGCGACGTAGGAGGATGTGAGCCTGGGTCTCTTGTCAAACTGACTTGGAAGTCCCTTCGAGGGCTCTGACTGATTTATCCACAGGCAAACCAGTAGTGATCGAAAGCAGTGTTTGTGCTTCCTGGGTGTGCGGGCATGCCTTAGGAAGAGTGGGGAAGAGCGCCGGCCTCAGGGTCATACGGGCCTGGGTTGAAATCCTGGCTCAGCCACCCATGAAGCCTAGGACTCCGGGCAAGTTATTTAACCTCTTTCAGCCTCAGTTCCCTCATCGATAAGCCGGGGATAATCATTTCACATCCTCCACAGGGCGGCTGAAAAGAAGACATGAGATAATAGATGTAAGCCCTTCACACAATCTGGCACATGGCTCGCAATTTGTTACTAATCATTGTTATCTCTCTAGAACTTGGATGTTCTTTTTATTTTGCCTTAACCCCCTCTATTAAGATTAAAACCTGGGAACCTTTGGGTTGAATGTGGCATACAGTCATGTCTTGTTTGATCCGCACAGAGTTTAAAATGTTTTCATTTGGTTGTTTATGAGTTAGGAAACTTCACGTGAAAATCCAGATTCTGGGCTTCTCTTTAAAATCAGAAGTTCTGGCACAGCGGGAGTGCTGGGCTGGCGTCCCCCCATGGCGACAGCTGGCCGGAGCTGGCTGGCACCGATACCGGTGCTTGCTTACATGTGGCCTCCCTTGTCCCGTTTGCCACTCCTTCCTTTCATACACCTGCTCAGATTTACTCACGTTTCGTCTGCCGTGTGCTACTTCCATTGAAGTTTAAAACTCCTGGTCTTTCAGGACGGATTGATTTTCAGGTACCCTTGTGTATCTCTCAGTATTGAATTCGGCTACATGGATCAGAAACTTGACCCCGGTTTTTGAATCAAGCAGGCATGAGTCTTCTCACAGCAGGAAGTCCAGTGGAGGGCAGAACAGGGCAGGTGCAGTCACCGGGCAATATCCTGCATTACCCCGGCGCCTCCTGGCTTCTGACTCTGCCACCTGCAGCTCGAGGCTTGTTCTCACTGTTATGGTTGTGAGCTGGCTGGTGGTTCCCCGGGCATCAGATCTGCATTCTAGGTAGGAGGAGGGGCCATAGTAGAAGAGTTCAAGGTGCATGCCAGCTAAGTTTGTTCCTTCTTATGAGGAAAACAGTAGCCACAGACCTCACCAAGTAGACTTCTAGTTACGTTTCATTGGTCAGAACTGGCTCTCAAAAACCACCGTAAATTTCAAGGGACTTTTCAACCAGGCATGTTGCCACAGCCATAACACTGGGGTTTGGCGTTAGGAAGAAGAGGAGAAGGGCTGTTGAGTGGGCCATTGGCAACCAATGTGTCATCATTTTTTCAAAAAACAATTCATACAGAGGTTTTATTCAGAGATTTGGGTATGACAGGAAAGAATTATTTTTAGTAACAACAACAACAAATCCACATTCCTCTCCAGATTTCTAATTTAAAGTTGTGTAGAGTTCGGTGGAAGATTAGATGCCCTGAAATCCCAGGATACCTGCCTGAGTTGCCTTTGTCAGCTCTTCTGGGTCTTTTCCTTCTGCCCATTTTCTCTGTAACCATTTGGGCCTTTCTGCCTCTAGGATCCCGGTGGCGCAGTCTAGGTTGTTAAATGCTTCCTCCCTCTCTGAGAGGAGAGGGAATGTCTCTTTATTTGCTTAGTCGTT